GAACCCGCCACCTTAGGTGTACGTGGCTGGCGCCTTAGCCGGTTGAGCTATAGGCGCCGAGCCTAAAATTCATTTCTAAAAAGAAAAAGAAAGTATAAGAATAGCCAAGCCACTTTTGAAAAAAAACAATGGAATCACATTTTTTCCCATCGCCATCAAAGTATACTAGAAAGCTATATTAAACAAACTGTACAACACTGGCTCAGGGATAGACAAACAGATCAATGGAAAAAAAAAAAGAGTCCAGAAAGAGCTTTGAATATATGTGGAAAATCCAGCGTATGATAAAAGGGCAACTGAATCTGTGAAAAAAAAAAGAACTAAAAACATAATGTAAGTGGTAGTTTTACTGCTTACTCAGTGACCTTGGACTTGACTTCTCTGTGCTTGTTTCACCTGTAAAAACTAAAGTAACATGCTTAAATGAAGAAGCTCACTAGTAAAAGAAACTCAGCACTGCTTGACGTGAAGTAAATTTTCAATGACACATTCATGGTGGGGGAGAGGAAGAGGAAGGACAGTGGTGAGCTGGCAAAGTCGTTAGTGTTGCAGGTACGTGTAAAGGAGTAGAATCCAACATGTGTCTGATACCACCCACAAAGATAAATCCCTGACAAGTTAAAGAGCTAAATTTTTAAAAGTTAGGAGAGAAAAAAAAAAGTGTTTTTAAAAACTTGAGGTTAGAAAGAGCTAATTAAGATACAGAAAAAAATAGAAGAAAACTGTTGACAAATTCCATTGTATCTACAACAAACAGGGAGAAAGTATGTTCAACATACATAACAGATAAGGGTAAATCTTCACAGGATGGTCAGCCCTCCATATCCATGGGTTCCATATCCATGGATTCAACCAACTATGGATCAAAAATATTCTGGAAAAAAAAATGGAAATTTGCACCTGTAATGAACAAGAGTTTTCTTTCTTGTCATTGTTCTCTAAGCAATACAGTATGACAGCTATTTACACAGCATTTACACTATATCAAGTATTATATGTAATCTAGAGAGGATTTAAAGCAGGGTGCCCAACCTGTGGCCTGTGGGCCACAAGCTGATTTTGTGAGTTTTTCTGCTATGGTGTCAGACATCATGAAAAGTGCCCACTGTATCAGCTTTCATCAGTGTTTGCATATTTACTGGGCAAGACAACAACTATTCTTCCAACACATGGCAGAAAAAAAGAAAGGTTGGACTCCCCTAATTTACAATACATGGGAAAAGGTGCATAGGTTATATGCAAATACTATACCATTTTACAGAAAAGACCCAAGCATCCCTGAATTTTGACATTGCAGGGGATCCTGGAACCAATGCCCCATGGATACGAACATGTGACTGTGTATCAATAAATTTTAACAAAGAAAAAAGCCAACAAAACAACACAGACATGCACATCTCTATTATTTGTTCCATTTCACTAGAAATTGTGGATATGTAAACCAAAATGAGATACTATTTCAACTACCAGATGAACAAAAATTTAAGAGACTGATAGCATCAAGTATGGGTGATGGTGGAAAACAGGAATTTCCATCATCTGGTGGAAGCATAAATTGATATGGTCTTTGGATATGCAACCTGGCAGTTTAAATTTTAAATGTCAAAATAAGTAAATAAATAGACTTTAAACATGTCTCTCTTTCGTATGAAGTACCAACCCTAAAAAGGTACACATATATACAAGGAACAAGTACAAGGGCATGTTAGTATTAGTACGGACCTGTTATATTTACATGTAGCAAATTCCTAACAAGGAAATACTCTGAATAAATGTTAAAAAGAAAGGGGTTCTAAATGAGTGGCTCTCAACTCCAGCTATGCTTTGGCACTGCCTGGAGCTTTTCAAATATTAGAATTCCAGGGCCCCACCCTCAGATATTCGGATTTAATTGGTCTGGGAGAAGAAAATGTTGTGGTAATTTTTAAAAGCTCCCAGGGGGTATAAGTAGGAAGTCTGGACTGCAAACTAATGATGCATCTGTACTGACTTGGGCAGCTCTCCAAGACATTACGTTAAAAACAAAAACAGAACTGTATGGACACGTGGACAGTATAACACTATTTGTATTTTTAAAAAATCATTTTATATGTACCTGCACTAACAGCCAAGAAGAATCCACACTAAGCTGATGAAAATGTTTGCTTCTTAGAAAGAGGGGTTAGGAGGGTTGGGGGGAGCCGGTACAAGTCTAGGGAAACACAGATTTACCTTGATTACCTAATTTCTTTTGAGAATGTGTTTATCTATTACTTATATTTTCAAAAATAATGAATTTTTCCAGCATAGTATAAACTATCAAAATGCTACTGATTTACTCCAATATTAAGAAAACGAATTAAATCATGGTAAAATCAAGACCTCCTAATTTAATCAGGCAATTAAAATTATGCTTCATGTTTCCATGCCTAAATCATTTTTATTGAAATCAACTAAATGTATTAAATTTCAAAATCCTAAAATCAAATTGCATTTATTTTAAATATATAAGAACTATTCTCAGGAATGTCCTGTGAAGCTGAAGGGTCTCGCCCATCCTCAGGGCTCAGTGCCCAGTGTTGCTTCCTCTGACCCAAACCCTGCACCATAGTTACCACTTTCAGTAAAATTTCCAAATGAAACAACGCAATGATTTAAGAAGAGATTCATTTTTATAAATGAGATGGGGGAAAAAATGAGGGGAAAAGAGAATGGGAAAGGAAGACTGGATTATGCTATGGAGCAAGTGTCATTCGGTTCTCTGGTTTTCCAAGGCAGGGAATGGCAGAGACAGTGGCTGCCTGCCTCAGCCCGTATGCTCCTTCTTTTTTTTTTTTTTTTTTTTTTTACAGAATCCCTGTTTTAATAAGAGATCACAATGTCCCAGGCTTTAAAAAAAAAAGTCTTTATCCTCTACCACAGACAGGGTGGCCAGGTGACACTGTTTTGGTCACTAATGGCTGCTTTTGTGCTATAACAATAAAGCTGAGTGGCTCATCAAGCTGGAAATATTTATTATCTGGTCTTTTAAAAAAAACATTTGCAGAGCTCCTCATCAGAGCAGCACCAGGAGGCAAGAGTATTCCCTGAAGATTCTCAATACCATTGCTCACAGCCCTTGTAGCCAACAACAACAACAACAACAACAAAACCCGTAACCCTTACCAGTTGGGGTAAAGAATCCCGGTACTTGGTATTTAATTGGTTCACAAAGCATCGGGTGATCCAGTAACAGTCGACACAATCTTCTACCATCTCTTCCATGGCTTTAGCAATGGCAAGAAATACTTCATCTTCTGGCTCCTGGAAGATTAATAATAAATCTCAAGAGGAAGGTAGTAGGAAAGAGGAATATATATTTCTTCAAAAATGAAACCTTGCCCCTAAATTCTGCAAAGCCTGTATTAGTAAATCAAAGTGGGATCAAAAAGCAGAGTCCATCACTAACGGGTGAGATAAGGATGAGTAACCAGAACTGGTGTTGCCTACGAATGACCTCGTCTCAGGCTGACCATGCAGCAATTCTCCAACTTCTAACACGCAGAAGTCTATCACAGAGCCGACATAAATCATAAGTCAAGGCACTGACCCTCTCTACCAAAAACATCCTGAGCGTTGCATGAGAATTTCTTTCAAAAGGGTGTGATAAACAGCATAAACAGTAATTGGAAACATTTGTCAGTACATAATTTGCAAATACCGAAGGACTCCAAATGTCAAAGCATTCATGCATACCTTTAGAATGCTGTTCTATCGTTAAGCACTTGGAAAGTTAAAATGCTCCCGGAATCAGAACTTTAGGAATCAAAAGAATGGCATTTCTCAAGCCTTGTGTCAGTAATAAGAATGTGAAAGTGAACCCTTGAATAAACTTCAACAGAAAAATATTATAAAAACTGGAACCTTATTTGACAATCTATTTTGTTTTCAAACACCATTATACACAAAAACTGTACATTTTCATCTGTGATTTCACAGCCAAAAGATTTTTTATTTATTTATTTTTATTGTTAGGGATTCATTGAGGGTACACAGAACCAGATTACAGTGATTGCTTTTGTTAGATAAGGACCCTCTTATATTTGTGTCTCACACCCCAAAAGGTGCACCACACCCCTTGACCCCCCCACCCCTTCTCTCCTTCCCTTTCTCAGCTCTCTTCATCCCCCAGCCCCAACTGTGTACAAGGACCTTAATTGTCCTCATATCAGAACTGAATACATAGGATTCTCTTTTCTCCATTCTTGTGATGCTTTACTAAGAATAATGTGTTCCACATCCATCCAGGTTAACATAAAGGATGTAAAGTCTCCATTTTATTCAGTCAGCCGAAAGATCTTAATGTCAAAAAGAAAATTAAGAACTCTCTATTCCCTTAAAAAGTCTCAAGCTAAATCAAAATTCCTATTTTAATGAAAGCATTTAATTCTTAGGTCTCCTTTCAACTTATTAATGTATTTCATGAAATGTTAAGAACAACAGAGTTAGAATCATAGAAAGAACATTTCTCTGAGCATCTTATTAATGTGTCAGAGGAGGACAGAAAGTAAGGAACACAGGAAGGAGGAGGGAAGGAAAGTCTCTCCACCTGGACTCCTGCACAGACCGGGCACGGCACTCAGTGCTCCTGGATGTGGCTGCCACTGATGCTCTGGGCCGCAGACAGGCCAAGGGGAAAGGAGCTGGCCCTGGGCTGAGCACTGCCACATACTTATCAACAGATT